AGGGGAGGGTGAGGTTGGCCATGAGGAAAAGGTTCTTGAGGCACCCAGAGGGTGGTGGAGCACTGGAACAGGCTCCCCAGGGAGGTGCTGATGGCACCAAGCCTGACAAGATTCCAGCAGCATTTGGCCAAGGCCCTCAGGGACATGGTGTGAATGTTGGGATTGTCCTGTGCAGGGACAGGAGTTGGACTCCGTGATCCTTGTGGGTCCCTCCCAGCTCACAACATTCCATGATTTTATGATTCTTTGGGAGGGTGGGCAAGGCAGGTGGGAAACCCACGGGAGGGGGATGGACGAGGGATATCTTGAGACCTGGGAGAGGGGAGGTGCTGCAGCAGAGAAGCACCAGGACAGGGCCAGAGGCGCTGTGGTGGAGGCTGTGGGATCCTGTCTTACCCAGATGAGCAGCTGTGTGAAGACTACATTGGCCATGGCGCAGGAGAGATGCAGTGCTGTGCGCCCATCTCCATCCCCGTAGGTCTCATTCACTTCCTCCTTGGTGCCATGGGCCAGGAGCGTCACCACGAGGCGCAGGTCATCCTCTACCACAGCCCGTAGCAGCTGCTGCCCCAGCGGGATGTCCGACTGGGGCAGTGGAGCCAGGAAGAGCTTCTGCTCATACTTGGCCCGGATCCAGCGCTCCTTCTCCTCCCTGCCAGATGGGACACTGTCACTGTCACAGGTGGACCAACCTGCCCAGGCCCCATGTCCAAAGGAGCATGCACAGCACCGCTGCCACCCTGAACGCACCCCGTGCTAGCAGTGAGCATCTGTCTGGGGAGATCTTATAGCGGCCTTCCAACACCTGAAGGGGCTACAAGAAAGCTGGGGAGGGACTTTTCATAAGGGCAGTTAATGACAAAACAAAGGGAAATGGGTTTAAACTGGAAGAGGGGAGGTTTAGATGAGATATTAGGAAGAAATTCTTTGGTGTGAGGGTGGTGAGCCAGTGTCCCAGGTTGCCCAGAGAAGCTGTGGCTGCTCCTCCCTGGAAGTGTTCTCGGCCAGGTTGGATGAGGCTTTGAGCAACCTGGTCAAGTGGAAGGTGTCCCTGCTGATGGCAGGGGGGTGGAACTGGATGAGTTTTAAGGTCCCTTCCAACCCAAACCATTCTATGATTCTGTGTCACACACACACCTTGCATAGACCCTACTGATGACACCTTTCCTGCCATCCCCCTGCGCACATGGCTGTCACTGGGGCTGTCACACTGCTCCGGACACATCCCCGACACACACTTGTTTCACTGCACCTCCTTACAGCTCCCTGTGCGCTGATGTCCACGCATGTACAGCAGCAGCGTCCCACGCTCAGGCCCCACAGCTGTCCCCGTGCAAAGGGACACTCGCACCTCCACGCTAGTGCCCCTACACTCTCCCGTGAGCCCGTTACGTGGCAGTGCCGGGGCCATCTCTGTCCCATGCTCATGCGTGGGCCATGGCCAGCGGCAAGAAAAGGTTAGCTGCTGCACACGACAGCCCAGTGCCACGGGAGGCATGTTATCGCTGCTGCCGTCTCGCCTGGTGCAAACAAAGGCTGCGGCAGCGTCCGTCCCGCCTGGGGCT